ACATTGGTCACAGTTTTTTAACTTATCGTTTTCTTTTATCTGGTATTGACCCACCAATGTGTAGCCTTTGTGACACTCAAGTCACAATAGCCCACATTTTACTGTCGTTATGACCGTGAGCGGCGACACCATTTTACACACGTATTTTGTAAGGGTTTATCCCTGACGTTTGACAGTACCATTGGCGATGGTGACACTGTCCAACTTGATTGTATCTTGAATGTTTTTAGAACAATTGGTCTTTTTTATTTTATTTAACTCTTTTATCTGTTCTTTGGACATATTTTGGTTTTAACTTACTTTATGTTTACATTTTACTACAATTTCTTTTTACTGTTTTTACCGGTTGTTTGGCGCAGATAGCCTAGTTGCTTTGCGCCGTAAAACACCAAACAACCAAACCAACCAGACTCTCTGCCTATCGGAAGAGAAAGAGAAATATTGATTCGTCTCAACCCTTACATCAAACATAAATGGTTTGTTCATCATATGATCTATGGCTGAGTTATTTACAAAGCTGATCTGTCTGTCATTGACAATAAGCCAGATAAAATTTGTAGCCATCCAGTAGCTCAGTGGTAATACTGAGGGCTTATAACGCTGAAAATCGTGTTTCGATGGGTGCGGAGGGTAAAGCACAGACAGCCAATTGTGTAGTTTAGCGCAAACAAACAAAAACATTTTGCTGACACTAACCTGGCCTTTAGATAGAAGCATGAACAAGAAACAAGAGAGCTAAGAGTTACTTAAAACTAATTAACTGTAGTAGAAAATGATTAATTCGTCGAAACTATTTTAGCACAAGTATTATTTATACTATGGTAGTTAAAGCACATGATGTTACAGCATTAATTCGAATCACCTCTGTTTTGTAAACTTCTAGCTTCCCTGGTTTACTTTTAACATCAATCTTTGTGTATGTTCCACTGATCATTTATTTCACATATTCCTACTCAACAAACATCACTCGTCTTAAATCTTAATTTGCAGGAGGAAAAAACATCGCATCCGTTTTTAATAGGCTTAGAAAAGCGGTTTATCTTAGTTCAGAACATCATACTGGTTCTTTTACCTCGCCAATTGAGTACGCTCAATTTATTTGTTTGCAGTAAGTAGTAGATTGGCTCACATCTTCAAATAAACACGCTTGTTACGTTACATTTAATCGGTTTTTATTATTAAGCACTTGCACTTTAAGTGAACTTTGCTAACATATCCTCTTGTTGAAAATACAAAATAGAACTTTCTGTTTGAATATGTGTTTTGCACATTTATATTTACATCACAATACATCCTTCGTGTTTACTTGATTACTCGCTGAATTAAACGGAATTACTTTTCCAGATTTTTTTTTTTATTATTATTCAGGCAAGCATCCTGAATTACTGTAGCTGAAAGAAAGCTTTCTTTTTTATCTAACCTCAAAGTTAAGTACTTCATTTTACATCTGTTTTTATGTGTGAACTTCTTTAATTTCTAAAATAATATAAAAGACAAACATGATCTGGGAAATAATATTTTCCTGATTACTCTACACACAGGGAGTTTTATTTTGATTTTCTTTTGTGTATTCTAGTCTTACATTCACTCAAACTTGCTTTATCTCGATGAAATTATGAAAATGTTATAAAATATATGGTAAAATGTCAAGTTTTCGGTTATGAAATTCTCTAAGAAAAGACTTTCTTTGTTTTCTTTTCTTAGACCCTATCGGTATCTTTTAGTGATCAACTTTTCATATAACTTTAAATAAAATTTTTTTAAATAATATACAAAATACAGTGTAATATTAGTACTATGTAAGTTTGTAATTTGTCTGGGGATAACAAAACTTTGGCTTCTCGTCCTACACCAATGTTCCACTGTATAAAACACGACAACCGACTATGTGACCCTAACGATCGTGACGGTGACAACACCCCTTGGGTGAACATCTGCATTCTAATTTTTGCGAAAAAATATATTTTGTCAAACCTCTCCATGGTCCGCGAAAAACGGGAAAACTTTTGTGAAAAGTGGGGCTAAGCGCATCCGAGATGGCCTATTACAGAAGTCCGGTTGATTTCGTTGTGTCAGAAAAATACAAGATAATATTGTGATCAGTGGCGGATTAACATAGAGGCAAAAGGGGCATTTGTCCCAGGGCCCCCAGGCGTAAGGAGCCCCAACGCTTCATAAATCAATTTTGTTCAAACAAATTTTAGGAACTCTAATTACCGATACTGACAAGCTAGAATATAAAATAAGAACCCCCCCCCCCTATCAAAATATTGAGATAATTTTACGTATATATCTATGCATCATGGTATCAAACTATACTTGGGAAAGTTCTTTTTCAAAGCTTGGGCTAATTAAAAATAAACTACGGTCAACCATGCATCAGCATCGATTGAACATGTTAACCCTCTTGTCAATTAACAATGAAATTTTATGCAGCATAGACTCGAATGCCATTATTCATGAGTTTGCTGAAATTAAAGTGAAAAAGCACGCTTTTATTTAATTTTGTTTGTGTGTGAAATAGCTTTTGCAACTGTGACATTTTTCATGTTTTTCAGTTCGGAGTTTAGTTTATGTCATACTCAGCACTTCAATTGATAAATTGTTTCATACTCAGCATTTTCAACTTAATAATTTGTTTTAATTTTGATCATTTGGAACTGAATTTGTAAATAATGATAACTTTTATGCTGTACATTGTAATATATTTCTTACCATGAATAATTATTAAGAATAAAGCTGTATACAATTTTATTTTGTTTATAACTATACGTTAAAACTTTAATATTTTGAAGGAGTCATTTTGTTTGTATTGTACCAGGACCCTGCCTATTCATAATCCGCCCCTGATTGTAAGGAAGTTTAACTAATGTTGAACTGATGAACTCTGCAGGTTTGAAATTGTTACACATGTTTACCACTATGATTCTTGCTTTAAGTATGTGATTGCATATTCATTGTACAACAAGTGTTCATGTAATCACTTTAGCAAAGCTATTGTACACAAGTTTACTAGATCTGTGTGGTGTGTCGCAGTAAAAATTCATATGTCAATATTGTTACGACAGCGGAAGTCACGGGACGCTGGGAGCATGCGCGCAGGAGTTTCTAGAAGGATCCTGACTTAGCGGGCAACCTCACGAATGTCCCAGAATTTGTTAGACGCCCTCTTTTTTAGTATATAAGCCGGAGATAGATTAAAGAGAAATAATTGTTAATTCTATGTAATGCAAAGTTGTATTGAGAAAGAATAAACTAGTTTTATTTAAGAAAGGACTTGTATCGGTGAAGTTCCTCGGAAAGAATTTATACCGGAAATTAACAAACGACCAGATACGCAACAATATATTAGTATTATGGGTAATTATATGCAAGGGGCGCAAGCTTCACCATGATAACTATAATGTAAGTCATATGTCTATATATATGAAACAATATCATAATGTATTGATATGAGACATGAATAATGCCGTCTTTGAACAAATCGTTTATAGTATATACTTGGGAATAAATATCACTAGCATGAATATAGACTCCTTGTTTTGTTTTTGTTTTTTCGTTAATAGGTAAAATTTTCTTAAACTCTTTATTTTTGAAGAAAATGAAGTTACTTTCAAGGCACCAGCTACACGATGATATTAAAAAGGCATTTACTGTACATAACTCTAGAAAACAGGGCTCGATTAAAAAACTTAAAATGAAATTTCTATGGGAGAGGGTAGAATAAACAAAAGACTTATCTCAGGTACAAAGATTCCTGTGAGTGGCACTGGTCCTGCTTGTGGTAAATGTAATAATATTTTTATAAATGAAAAATTCCACTTGGAGGTCTTTTCCGTGCTATCTTTCTGTTTCCTTTATTTCAACATTAATTCTCTACATAATAAACTATTTAATTTAAATAAAAGATTATTTAGCAAAACAAAGCTTTATGAAATAAACTCAAAGAGATTTTCTCTCACATTTTACTTAATCAGTTCTTTTTTTTTTTGTCTACTTTTTGTTTTCATGTGGATTCCACTGCAGGTAAATCTTAATTTTTGTATATGGAACATTATGGTATGACATATGCTTTGAGACAATATTTTCAGTGTCCCAAATTAAAATTTTATTTCTGTGTTCTCACTCTGAATTTCATTTTTAATTCTGTTGTAGATGAAACTTTTTATCTTTCAATTTGACACAACATAAGTCCTATGACAAATCTTGTATACATATTCTTAAATTAAAATCTCAGTTTACGTGCTTCTTATGTTTCTTTTTTGATCATTCCTATTTGAGCTTCATATTATATTATTTTGCAGATAACATCTTATTTCTTATTTTAACTGAACATTGAGCTCCCTTTTAGATTTACACATTCTAAATTTTAGTGGTCTGAATTTCCACAAGGTGGGGAAGAATTCCATCTATTGAATAAGCTAATAATTTCCTTCGCCATCTCTTTCTTAATTTTCTCTAAGAAAAATATGTAACTCTTTCACAGATGCTAATTTGTATGTTGCAACGTATGCTTAATACAAACACTATGAGTTGTGAATAGAACATAAAATTGTACACCCTAACCAGAGGTTGTTGATTACGGTTAGTATTTAATGTATATATCTTTTGTTTATTTGGCGTGTTTCTATAATATCGAGAAGATAGTACATAGTAGGCCTATTTGTCAACTAATGGTATTTCTTTGGTTTGCTGACCCAAGCTGTGCTGATGAGCATTGAATAGGCAAAACTGCAGTCCACAGCAGAGGGTCCGGTCAATCTAGGAATGCATTAGGCCTCTACGTCACAGATTCTCTTTTAAATTTCATCTCTGGTGAAAAAGAAAAGAATTCTTTAACATACTGTTTTTCATTCATTTATTTATTTTATAAGCAATGCAGAAGTTTTCGGTCATCAGGCTTCTTCAGGTTATACGCTACAAGAGATTCAGCGGTAAGTTTTAATAAATTATACCAAATATTGAAGTTGTTAGTTCCAACAGAGGGCACCTTAGAGACAATGGCGGTAGGAGGGAAGTTTGAATGTTGTATTAATGAGCAGACGCCGTTATTAAGTATTAAATCCTCAAATACAAATGGTAATTTTACTTTTTAAAATTTATTATTTGAAATAGCCAATTTTATGGTTAAGCATGCTGATGTATATGTTTTCATCTAGGATAACAAAGAACATTAAATGAAACTCATCACCGCCTGTGTACTTAGTTTATAATACTACGTCAAGTTCAACTTCTTTAGTTCTTGACTAGGTCAAACTTAGTAACTTATCGAAAATGTAAAATATAGTTTTAAGATGGGTCTTTCCTGTTTCATCAGAGTTATGTTTATTAATGTATAACTTTAATACTCACCAAATAACTAGCTCAAGATTTTATAAAGTATGTAAATTCTATTTCTTTTAGTTTCGTAAATAAATTCAGAAGTTTGGATAGTAATATATCCAAAGTTACTTATGTCAACTTATGAATATGATACTAATACAGGTAAAACTAAAAGGACCTAAACAATAACAGTTTTAAGGACTGAGGGTAAGGTTATGCACTTACACTAAGTTACAATATTATAAACTGGAAGTGGAATAAAACGTTTAACAAGGCTTTTTGGAGTACTGTTCACTTAAGTTACTACAAAAATAATATAAATATGTTGGAAGAGTTTGAAAATGAATTATGTAATATTGACTTGTGTAAGTGATTTAACTGTAAATTACAAGAAGGGACTTAAAGTTTTGATTTTTTTTTTTTTTGTAAGCACAGAAGAGTTAGTAGAAGTATATTTCAGGTATTTGACATTGTTAGGGGTTTGAGTATCTTCCTACATGTATGTGTAGGTAATCTGTTTCAATAGTGAAATGAAAAGATTAGAAATTAAAGATACAAACTTAAATAGGTTGAAATTCTGAAAACCCAAATATAGACTTGTTTTTTAAGAAAACTATTTTTTGTTAGAACTAAGTTTGTGGAAATAGCATTTTTAATTGAACTCTTAAAATTTTGTGGGTTATGGTATGTGGTTTTACATGGCTACATTTAACTTGATGTTTCGATTGCTTAGTTTTGTCAATGAAGTGTGACTTGAGTAAGTCAAATGACCTTCAATCATGTTGCTTTTTCTTCAGTTTCTTAAGCTATTAAATTGGTTCATAGTTTTAAAAAAATATTCTATTCTTACCAAATTGTTATATTGTTTTATAAATTTACTAGTGTGTATCTTGAGTGCTAGGATACTTTTGTTAAAGTATTGTAGTGTATTTTGTAATAGAATGCTCTTATTTTAGTAGGGTTGGTGAAAAAATTCAAAAGGGAGTAGAAGATGTAGTCAGGATAAAGCTACTGTATATGGACATAAGTAACTAGAAGAATAAAACTAATATAACACTCAAGTTGTTAGTTGTTGTTTTTTGGAGATTGTGATTTTTTTAGTATTATTTATGTCAATAATTTGAATAATGCCTACATGGTAAGTTAAGTATCTAAATTAGCTGGTGATATTCTTATTTTCTCTTAAGATAAAAAGAGTAAGTGGTAAAATGATTGCAGCTTACAAGATTATGCAGCATTAGAGTTGGATGATTTGTGGAAATTTTTAACTGATTAATTGTTGGGTCTTTTAATTGATTCTTCTGACAATAAACTAATATTTATTTTAAGACATTTTCGAATTACTCATCATTAAATATGTTAGACATTTTCAGGTATAATAGTTTAGGATTAATTTACCTTTTTTAATCTCTCAGTGTTGTACCTAAAAATATATCATATATGCAGTGATATAAAACCTGTAATAAGCTAAAAAGTATGGTTGATACCATTCTTTGAGTTTCTCCTTAAACTTTTTCAACTGGACTACCTACTGAAACTACTGAATTTTTGTTGATAACAGTAAATGTTTCTTAGTGACATTGATTATAAATCAGACAAATAATAAATATAACATTTTCAGGTTTTTTTTTTAGCATTACTCTTGTACATGTGTTTAAAAAATATCACCAGGGTCAATAATATTGCGGAGATGTACAGGATTGTTATGGAAAATTGTAATATTTTCGCTAAGTACACTAATTCTTCATTAAAAATAATTGTTGTTACAGAAAATAGTGTAGCTTTAGTACAGGAACTTGGATATCTGTCTTTAGTACACTATTTCTAAATAAACTAATTCATTGTATAAAATAATTGTCCTTAGATTTCATGTAATAAAAACTTGTAAACATTCTTGTCACAGTATGTGTTAGATAAATATATAATTCACTGAAAACAAATTCACTCCAATCCAAGTAAAATAAAGAACTTATGATGATAATAGATGGCCTCATTAATTTGTAAGGTAAAAATCGAAGTTTTATAAGAAACATTTAAAACAAAGAAATCCAACAAAATATTTAATTAACAGAATTTTCAAATGTTTTTCTAATTCCCTCATCAGCTTGAAAAATGTTAAAAAATTAACTGTTTGAATATAAAATCATTGTAAAATCTGAAATAAGATGTTGTTGTCACAGTCAGAAGTTTAGAAAAAACAATTGAAATGATTAGTATCTTTACATTTTATGGTACAGGCTGGAAGAAACTAGAAACCTAAGTGAGTGTTGAGATAGCAATAGATCAAATGACCTACTGTACTAAGCCATGTCATGTAACAACAGCCAAATATATATTTTCCTTTTGAGTGCTTCTTATTTAGCTAGTGTCAGTAGTAATTAAACAGGAGTCCTGTTCATGTAAATAGGTTAACATAGGTTGCGTATCAGTAGAATGTTACTAGACCATGTCTAGTAAATTCTGACAGTTAAATGAGCAACCTATTCAGCAATCAATATCTTCTTTGAGCAAATTATGAATATTAACTTGCTGTAACTGTTCAATCAATCATATCCTAAGTGACACATGCAACCAGGAATTAGTTTTAGGACATCTATGAGTATAGTTGATAAGAAAATAATAATAATATTTATGCTATGGATTAAAATACCTATAATTTCCAAAATTTATTTTTATTTTGTTGCATTTTTTGATGGTTTACCTCAATTTATTAATTTATTTTATTATATAAAGTATGGTTTAGATATATAGATACATATATCATATCACATGGAAAATGTTAAACAGAATAATATATAGGAGTTCTAAAATAAAAGTTGTTTTTTATTAAACTAGTGCTAAGAAAATAAGATTATACTAAAATCAGCCCTCCAGGAATTTCCAATTGCACTTGAACTCATTTTCATGCAGAATGTTATGTTTGATGAGCAATTCCATAACTTAAGTACAAGTTTGTTATCTAATACTTTTACTGGCAATTTATAAAAAAAAAAAAGTCAAAATTGACATTATATATCTAATTCAAAGTTTTATTAATTAATTTATATAAAATATTAACTTCCAAGTACTTGCAGACTTAAAATGAAAATATATTTTGAATTTAACTGGATGCACTAAAGTGTAATTTTTAACTAAGCCTGTTTCTAATACTTATTTGCTGTTGCACTGGGGCATAAGTTATCTGTTACAGAAGCTTCTAACTTTTAGAGCAATCAAGTAATCTTGCAGTATGAAATTGTATTAACTTGGCCAAAAAGTATAAAGGGCTAGCAATTATAAACTTTCAAATGAAATTTACAATCTTACTGCTGGATACACTTCTATAAAATTGTTTAGCATTAAAAGTTGAATCAAGTGTAAAACATTTAGGAAGTTTCAGCACCATATTTAACTATAGTCTGTCATGCTACCTGTATAAAGACAACTAAATTAATGTGATCCAAAAAATAAGTTGAAGTAAATTAATCACAAAATGAAAGCAAAGCGAAATAATTTTGAGACAAATATTAAGAGCTATGTTTGTTTTTGTTACTTCCTATTTTATAATTGTTGTCATTAGGCATAAATGCCATATGTTGAATTTATAACAAGTCACACAAATATCAGAAAAGAAGGTATTTCAGCTTAGTTCCAATGATGCAGATTTAGAAAACTATTGATTAGACATTTGTAACCAGGCCTGAATGATACCTGTTTGTTTTTCCAATACGTTTAAAACTTTAGTTATTCCTTGAACTGTGAAAGACAGATGGTAAAAAGCATACAAATGAATCTGTGCAATGGAGAAATTTTTACCTCGTGAACTAAGGATCACATATTTGATACCAGGTGCCACAAAATATGTTTGCCTTTTCAGTTGTATGGGTATTACAGTTTCTTGGTCAATAGTGGAGAATATACGCATTGTTCATTGGTAAAAACAAATAGCTAACACTCCCGTGGCTGAAAGGGTAAACGTCGTTGGTGGTAACAGGAACCAAACTCAATACTTGAGTCACGAGGCAACCCTCTAATCACTGGACCATGCTAGCCCAAAGCTGAACAAAAAAATGTTAATGAATGATTATAATGACAGTATTTTGATTACTTCAATAGTTGGAATAATCAAAACAGGAATAATCAGCAACCCTAATTTTAATTAGTTGATTATTTTCCTGAGTTTTGTCAAAAATCATTTAAGCTGAACAAATTTGAATTAATTTATAATTATTATAAATTATTAATTTATAATAAGTAATTATAAAGGCAATATTTTGATAGTTGGAATAATGGAAATAGTAATAATTAGAAACCTCAGTTTTCATGAAGCTTTGTTTGGATTCATAGTGATTTTAAAATTGACACTTATGTTTGCTTCAGTTGAAAAATGTTATTGCGGATTTATGAAAACTTATAGTAAATAACAATGTATTTTGTATTCTACAATATTACATTGTTTGTAGTTGAATTTTGAAATTTGTTCCACAGTTTAAAATTTGAGATATTGTGATTAGGTGCAGTACTGTTATTGTTCAGCAAATTGTCTTGTATGGAGTATAGATGACACATTATTTTCTAAGAGAAATATTTTTAATGGTATTTTGTAAACAAATATTTCTTAGAGTATACATATTTTATGTGTAGCTATGATTTACTAAGTTGAAAATTTTTCTTTTTTTTTTGTTATAAAGTATATTAATAAAAAATTACTGATTGTGTGTTTCAGTTTATTGTTTTGTTTTTTCTCTGTACACCATCCACATCTAAAACCGTTTTTATTTTTTCTACATCTAGGACAATTTCAGGCCACTCAGCTCTGGTATGAGATTATTAACCATCTTAGGCAGCATGCTGATGTTGGAAGAAAGCGTTACCTACTAAAGCATTATGATAATGTCTTTACTGGAAGTAATGCAGTAGACATTGTTTTTGCATTTCTGCAACATAAAGAATCTGAACTCTTGGTTCAAAATTTTGCAAGGGAGAATGCTGTAAAGGTACATGCTACAGTTTCAGTAATAATTATCTTTATCAGATTCAGTTCTTTAATTAGTTTGGAAGGTTAATGAGTATCTGTAAATCAAAGTGTATTCTATTTATCAAACAAGAAGCAAGAAGACAAAAATTACTTCAAGTGAAGATAAAATCTATTCCTTTATTGCAAAATTAAGAGAATTTAGAGTCTTTCATGATATTTATTAAATATAACCATAAACTTGCTCTGAGCAGCTAATGAACAGCGTGTTTATTGTGTATCACTGACTAAGTTAAGAATGTTAAAGGACTTGATAAGGTTAAAGGAAGATAAGAAAGCAAAATGGGAAGAGCTCTGTATTAGGACACCACTTTTTCTTTTCATATTCTGTTTATTAATGAATTGTTGTGCTATGTTTATGTTTAATTTCCATTACTCAATACTTAACATTTTTTATCTCTTTTCTGATATTGTATTTGTGGTTTTCATCTTTTGTGGTCTTTCTGTATATTTTGATATATTGGTAGTCTAGTTGATATTTTCATTGTTATTTACTAAAATTAGTATAATTTATATTTATTTTTAATTTCATTTGTGGTATTATTAGAGTAGAAGCTAAAATGGAATGAATTATATATTTTTTCCAATGGTTTTTGCTGTTATTTTTTATTATGTTTGTGTTTATGGTAATGTGTATGTAGTATTTTGGTGTTTATTAATGTAATCTTTTTCTCCATAAACATTGATAGATAAGGTGCAAAGTCATTTTGTCTTTTTTTTGTGTGTGTGATAGTTGCCTTTTTTGTATCTTCTATTAAATTCATATTTGCCTGTGTTTCTGAATTTATGTAATTTTACTGTGATCTACTGTGTAGTATTTGTGTGTCCATTAATTTTGTGTATGCTTTCCAATAATCTGTTATTATGGTACTTCCTGGTTTAACATGTCTTTTTACTATGTACATTAATGCTTCTTAAGTTCTTTCTTTTCCTGACATTAGAAAAATATCTGAGGTTTCTGTAGAAGTCCTTCCTAAGACCCATATTCATTATATAATTTTTCCTCTGTAACATTTTGTTTTTCTAAATTTTGATTAGTCAAGTTCAGTTGTGTAATTTTTTCCTGCTAGATTGTATAATGTTTTACTTGTTGCTTTTGTTGTGTAATTGTAATAGCCTGTTAATGTTTCTTGTGATGTGTGTGGTTTCTGTGTCACACTTTCTTTCTACCTCCAATTCAGTTTCCTTGTATATGTATTTCATGATAAATGTGCATATTATCCAGTATGTTTTTCCTTTGTGATATCTGAGTTTTTGAACCATGTATTATAAATTAGGGCTATTGTGTTTTTGTTTTCTCTACAAGAGCATTTGTTACATGTGGACCTGAAGTTTTATTTCTGATTTGTTTTCTGTTTTTTGTTAGTATTATTTTATATATGTTGGGCATTTCTGTTTTTGGGTAATAACTTCTTTACAAAAGCATTGTATTTATCTTTTACATATTAACTTGTTTTAATCATTTATTACAGATTTTAAAACATATATTATGATATTGTGTTTCACATTAATTCAATGTAGTTAAGTGCTTTGTTCATGTGCATATTTCACATCAAGAATTTTTTGTTTTAGTATCTTATTTCTTGTTTATTATTATTTCTGTTTTTATTTACATTTTGTACATAATCTGCAATTCATTTTTAAACACAAAAAAAGCTTGTTATGCCATTAAAATCTTCAAGGAGGTGATAGTTATTCTAATCGTCTATTATCTTATTCAGGTTTGTCAGGCATTAATGGACTCTCAGATTTTTGAACCTCTAGTAGGCAAAGGACAATTTGAAGACTGCAGTACCAATTTCTACAGGTTTTTAGAGATAGAATCATGGCAATTTAGCCCGCTTTTTCATGGAGGAAATGAAAAGTCCAGGTACTGTAAACTTATTTATTTGATTATCAAGGAAAATGCAGAACACTGAAAAATTTAATTGTGGACTTTTATTAAATTTCTTTTTTTTTTCATAAGATGATAAGTTAATATATCATGATTTATTTTTTATCTTCTTATTTTACAAGTGATGTAGATACAGATCAAAATTCTGGTGTGTACAATTCCAAATATAACTTGTCAACCTCACCCAAAATGACTCCAACAAAGACTCAAGGAACATCATTTAAGAGACGTGCTGCCTCACTGGACCCTGAATCTATGGTGAAATATTCAAAACCTTCAGTGATGGAATCTTCCAGACGATCTCCATTGTCATCTCTTCACAATAATTTCAATAATAAGTCTCCCCAAGCTTCCTCCAGCACCTGCCATGCTTTGAGTCGAAGGCATAGCTTTACTTTTTCTCTAAAATCAGGATTTAAAGACAAATGTACTGATAAGTTAAGGGATTTTCTGCAGCCCCAACCAACAGTAAAGATAAAGAATAATTTTTTAACACGGAATAGTTTACGTGCTTCATTAGCACGACTACGGCCTCGCATGACAACCAGAGATCATTCTTCCAATTCACAACCTACTCTTCAGCTTACTAGTCAGAATTTGGCTTCATATGATGCACATCAGAAAGGTAAGCTTTTTCAATGTTTTTGAAAGAAAAGTATAAAGGATTTAAATATATGTAATGTATTTTTTTTCTTAATCACATATCAGTAAGTAGACACAAAATATGTGTGAAATATTGCTGTATTTAGGTATAATATGTTGTTTTTTATATATCTGTACCAAATCAAAATAATTACAAGAAGTTTGCACAAATATTTTTTTCTAATCATCTGTGTGTATCCTAGAGATTTTCACTTTTTGGAAAATTTTGTGGATTTATTTTTCAAATTTTCATTTCAACACACAACAATGTTATATATAACAAGTAATAACAATGTTAGAGATTATTTAGTAGTGGTAACTTCTTTATTGAAGAGCAATAGAGGAAATTATAAAGCATAGTCTTTTCCACCATGTTAAATGTCTGATTATTTTAACTGACTTCATAGAGCTTTCCTGCTGCATAATTTGTCTTTATTTCTGAGGATAATTCTTATTAAGTAGTGATCCAAAGCATGAACTTCTTCTGGTGTTATAGTGTTTGTAGCATCACTGTTTATTCATTATACTTACCACTGTAATTTGTTATAAGTGAAATCAAAACTAACCCTATATGTTAGAGAAAACAGAAAAATAGCTGATTGTACAGGTGGAGGTCTATTGCATTGTGATATGTTAAGTTGAAAAGTAAGATCAACTATTTAAATATTGAATTAAAGATGACTCATACAATCAACAGTTTAATCACAAGAATCTGGAATTCTCTGCTTCTTGAAACAGCCATAGAGCAGTCTTTCATATACAAAAGTAAAATAGAATACATTACAACTATCCAATGAAATAGTAAATAGTTTCTATGTTCAGACCCTTGGACTAAATTTAAAACTTGACAGTGATATGAATTGGGATGTTTGAAATCAGAACTTAGAATAACATAGATTCAGTTTCTGATTCATTAGCTTTGAAAAAAAATTAGTTTAGGAATTGCAAACACTAAATTGATGAAAAGTTTCTTTACGTGTCAGTCATCTGACATCAGTGTTAGTAAATCTGCTTTACCTGTTTTCTTCTCAACAAGATCTTGCACCTATTTGTACAGAATCACGAAACAAATATAAAAGCAGATCTTGGTTTATAAAGGATTTCTTCCGAAAGTTGTCTCAAAAGAAATTAAGTGGCATTCAAGTTTAATAATATGTTTTTAATTTTATTTTATTCCTGGGATGACATTACGTAAAGGAAGTTCACATTGCATTTAACAGTAGTAGTATGGTAGCTGGCTGTGTTTAGAGTGGATAGAGTCATTATAGTCATGTAATTGTGTTACCAAAACTGTGTTAAACAATTGGGTAGAAAAAGATATTGTTCTTATTCTATTTCCTTTTCACATCATTTTCCTGAAATTTAAAAAAGTCAAACAAATTTGTAGTTCAGTTGTTGGTAAATTTATTAATGGAGTTATTTTTAGCACTCAATCAGTATTTTACTAGACTCTGTATGTGACTACTTTTGCTGTTTGGCAAAGTACTGTAACATATATATATATATATATGTATATATGTGTGTGTGTATATACATTCTTCATAAATTTTTACCACTATTTTACTCAGATAATTATTCACAAGTTTTAACTGGTAGTCAGAATTTTAAAGATATTTTCTGTATCTCTAAAACAACATAAAAATTTATTTTGCCTTCTTGAATTAAATTACAATGTTGTTAATGTTTTAATGAATTGGTAAGCATAACACATAACTAAATATGTAGCTTTCTGACCAAGAATGGCAGTTTGAGGTTGAATCTAACTTCTGTGTGTGTGTATATATAATCTTTGGGGTTATTTTAATTATACCAGTACAGTAATACTTTGAAACTTATTCTAACATTTCTTTTAGTTCAGGATCACGTAAGAGAAGCAGCCTTAAGCCATCTGTTATCTTTGATTGATGTTCCAATATTAGAGCCCATAATGATGACTTGTTATGACCTCCCAAAAGTATGTTTAAAAACTGAATCTCCCATCTTAGAAAACCGAAGGGTGAACTTAGCTATTAAGCCTACTATGCGACAAGACTTGAAACGAATTCCTTGGGTGAAAGAAGCAACAGCCTGTACTAATGGACCTCCTGCTGGTATTGATAAATTGTGGTCAGCTCAGGCATGCAAACAGCACTGTTATCAAACAGTAGTAGAGTACTACCAAAGCTTGCCATCTGTCATTCTCCCTGATTCATTCTTAGACATATACATAGCTATTGTGCATCTTCTCAAAGAAAATAAACTTCATCGAGCACAAAAAGCATTACAGCTCCTTATGATGGTTCTACCGTGGCAGCGTCGTCTTCAACTGCACAAGTTACTTCAGTTTCTCAAGCTGGTCTCTGGTGATATATTTGTTGCTGTTGATAAAGAGGTGAGTATTTGTTATATTACACTATTATCAAAAATGTATATTGTTTCACTATTTGTTTGCAAAAGGTTTAATAATTATTCTTAAATGCATGAATTTTATAAGAATATTTACATGAAATGACATTTGTTACTTAATGTTAACATAATGATTACTCATCTGTAAAAAAGTATTAGGATTATAATTTGAATTTTTTGTTTTGTTTAATTGTTTTAAGTTCCTAATCTTTATGTTTTAGCAGATATCTAACCATAAAGCCGTCATTCGAGACTTCTCGGGTTCTGTGCTATCACACTCTCTGATACCTCAGGATCACAGTCACATCTTCCTGGATTTTTGTATCTCCAAGACACCATTGATATTCTCTGTACCTCATCTGTTAAACTCTCAATCCATACTTAAAGGTAAGTATGAGTATTATTTTAAAATCTTGTTTAATTTTCTTAAATTTAAATCAATACTGAAGTATGATACTGTTATTAACCGTAGGTGATATCATACAATAGATGGAGTATTTGCAAAAAGCTAAGAAGTTGAGGATAGATTAAGAAAATATTACTAGAACTAGTTGATTAAGATGAAGAACATAGTGAAAAACAAGTGTTAAAAATAATTGTGATCCTGTTCTTTTAATTTTTTGGACAAAAAGGGTTGTCCATATTGGGTAATTTATAGAGTTTGTGCTGATCCTACAAAGTTATGGAATTCTGAAATTTTATTTTTCCAGTCTCTGAAAGTCTTAGACTTTGAGGGGGGGGGGGTTGTTGCCTAAATTATTTGTAATGCATAGTAAAAGTTCCCAGTTTCAAGCCTTTTGGTTTTCACTTAGAGACGTTTTTATAAGTTTTGTTAACTTTGGTTGTTTTTTGCAGACTTCAAACTGTACTTTTAAACTAATTTACAAAACTTCTAAAAACAGCTTGTTAAAATATTGAGCTCACTTGCAATTTGTGTTATTGGATATTCATACCTTACAGTAAAAATGTATTATAATTATTGTACCTCTGTATTACTATTTAAGTATCATCTCTGTTCTTTCCATTCATAAAGTGGAATTCAAAAATTAAATATCATGTCAAAGTACCCACTAACATTTCATTTAAATAATTAATAAAGGAGCAAATATTTAATTTCAAGTTGTGACCTTTGTTTTATGATGAAAGATTACTAACTCTGAATTTATTCCTATATAACAGTCATTATTTTTAAATTTTGAATAAATGTCTTCTCAGAATTTTGCAGAAAAAATTATCTCCCTGGGCAAAAATATAGCCCATCTCACTAACTTGCTTACTGAAGTTAAATGGTTGTTCTCTACATGGTACTCACTAATCAGGTGTTCTAGTTAGAGTTTATCATATTAAAAAGATATACTGATTGAAGTATTATCCTAAGATAGATTATTATTTTTATCATCCATGTTCACACTTCTTAGACAAAATTTTAACAAAAGTTATAGATATCCTTGTTTCTGTTTATTACTTTGCAGGGTTTCAGCTATCTAAATCAATTCCATAATTAGCATATTATATAATTTGAAACACATTATTTAATTAAGATGAAAATACTCACTGAATATGACCGATCTGTTCCATATTCTTGGCATTTTATACACCATGTTTCATTCACTGTTGACTGATCATTGTCATCAAGATTATAGCCAAGTACAATATTCACTTCTTTTGACTGTTTGTTGAAAGTTTTAATAGGCATTGTAACAGACAACTTTTGCATTTTATCATCACTTTTATTTCCAGAATTGCCATGTCTAAAAATCTTGTAATATCCTTGTTTCCCATCATACTAATGTAGAACAAAACAAACTTGCATCAATACGCGTGTTCCAGTTTATACATGTTTTTTGATGAAATATTACACATATTGTGCATGAACCTACAAAATGATTTGAAGAATGCTTTAATGAATGGAAGAATCTACATACATACATAATCATAATCAAACAGGAATCGGGTGGAAAATCCATTTTTGTACATAATAAAGGGAAAATAATTATCATAACTGGACAGGAATTGGCCTTTGATGACCTGAATAATGCAGTTTTATATTTTAATTCAGTTTTGTGTCACATGCAAATATACACTTGCATAAAATTTCAAGTAGCAAAAATTCTGACTCCCATTATAAAAAAATCCACTCGTCACGGTAGCAAAGATGTGTTGATCACATGCTGTTTGCATGATAGACACAAGCAGCCCAAATGGTGCAGAATACCAATCAATAGTCATGATGATAAAATGCTCACTTTTTTATCCTGTGTGCTTTTGCCTGCACATAAAAGTAATAAACACCACCAACTTTTTTTTTATATAACATTTTTGAAAAAAGATTAAACTTTCCTTATACATAGATTTATAAATTATGGAATATTCACAAATACAATCGAAAATATATTATACATTCTGTAGTAAATTGAATCTAATCAAAAACACCTTAGGTATGAAAAAAAATTGTGGCCAAAAAAGGATTGAGTGTGTGACTTAAAGGAATGAAATCAAAATTGGCAGCCAAACTGGTAGCTACATTTGTAGAATATTTATGATGTACCTAAAAATTATGTGATTACTATTTGCTGTAAAATTCTTATCAATGCCATAAGTGTAGCTACTACTCAATCCTTTTTTTTTTGGCCACACCTTTTTTTCACACCTAAGATATTTTGATTAAATATCATGACTTTATGTTAATACGCACCAACAAACTATAATAAGTAAGAAAGTGACACTCGATAGTATCCAACATTAGCTTTAGAATTGCAACCTTATTAACAGTAATAGACATATACTTTACAGAACGAACCAGATTCTTTAAAATATATGGTGGTAGTTTTCTCTCTAAAACAGTTAATAACTTCCTTTACAGTAATGGTTGGAGACGGCTTGAATGGGTAATGAAGAAAAACTCTAATATAAGTTTAACACAACAGCAAATGTACAACGTTTCGACAAAGTTTTGTCATCATTAGGTACATTTGCTGTTATATTATACTTGTATTAAAGTTTTTCTTCATTACCCATTCAAGCCGTCTCCAACCATTACTGTAAAGGAAGTTATAAACTGTTTTAGAAAGAAAACTACCACCAAATATTTTAAAGAATCTGGCTCGATCTGTAGATTATAAGTCTAT